GAAGTTCCACCTGAGAGCGATCAAGATTTGTTGTTACTTTCCGTTTCCTAAGTAAAGTCAGGAATTTCTGGCCAACGTCGTTGTAATCGAATTCATTTTTATCTTTTTTCTTTAACGCAAATGAATAAGGATAAATAAATAGCTTTGTTATTACACATAACATAAAATATCTTTAATGTTTTATGAACAAAAGATAGCATTTCAGTATATTTGTTAGATTTCAAAAATATAGCAAAAACGTCAATATTGCTTACTAGCCTAATACATTGTTTACTACTTTCCTTGCAAAATATGATCTAAATGCTAAGGTGTTTATTAAACCCACGGTATAATTAGCTTTTTATGTATAGAAAGTAATTTAATAATAAACATAAAAATGTCAATCTGTATATATAAAACAGAGGGTGTCTCTGTGTCTGTGTGTATGTGTGTTACCTTTTCAATCGAGATCCATCCAACTGATTTTGACCAAACTTGGCACATACATTGTAGAATGTAAGAGATAGTTTCTTAGCGCAAAAAATCCATAATTAAAAAAAAAAATCAATAATCGATAAAGCCGATCAAAAATCGATAAATTCAACTTTTTTCCTCCGATTTCGTTCAAACTCGGTATGTAGATTACTTACATCATGACGAGCTTAACAATAATTCATTTTTATGTCTACGCAACAGCGGTTAGCGACAAACAGCGAAAAACGAAAAATCGATTTCAACACAAATCGATTTCAACACAAATTTTATACTATAAACTCCCTCAATCTTCCAGCAATCTAATACAAACATCCCTGAAATGTAGCCAACAATAAGTTGATTGTTTAACAGTCATTTAACGGGATAATTGAGAGCACTCATATTGTGAAAACCCGCGCAAATTGCGAAAATGGCGATTTTTTCTAGCTTCTTTCTTATTTTTGGTTGATTTTCAACTAAATTTGATCAAACTTAACAATTGTTTTATAATTGTATCCATTTTTTATAAATGTATCCTCTTTTACATCCCTGGTAGCACACTGACAAATTGAATTTCAAAAACTCCAAAGTAATTGTCTATAGTAATAGTGGGTCTTCGTGTTGCCTGTTTTAACCATTCATGTCCGAGGCTAACTTTGATTTAATAAATACAGACTACTTCTGTTATATCAAAACTGCATTAATTCAAAATGTTTTTATTGAAAGTACTTTAAAGTAATTGAAGATGATGCTGTTTTTGCTCCATTCTAATTGAACGCTTTTTCTGCTATTTTATGTATAAAGGTCACAAAAACAATTGAAAATAAATAAAAGCATTCATTAAAAGTGCAACTTTTAAGTTGAATATAAAAATAATTATTCAATTCTGCAAGCATTATTATGTTGGGCATTATATAAAACACTTGCGTATAGATGCAAACACTAAAAACGCAGTAATTTCATGTCCCAAGAATTTTGTAATATTTCACTGGACTTATTCAACCTATACAACGAGGCAATCCTGAAAGAATTGAAAATCCCACCGGGATTCAGCATCGGCTGATTAATCTTAAGAAAGTGATACGCAGAGGAAACGGCACTGATAACAGACACGGAAAAGGAATTACCAAACCTCCTACAGAATGGTGTGAAGGAGAGCGAGAAGAAGGGACTAAGCATAAACTATAAAAAGATAGAATGCGTTGTCATTAATAAAAAAGATGAACCCGAAATGCGATTGATTTTCAGGTAGGGGACATTAAAATCAAGCAGGTTCGGAAGTGTTTTGCCAGAGGACTGTAAGTGCGGCATTGTGATCCGAAGACGTATTGGGATGGCCAAAGACGCATTCCAAAATCTGGGCAGAGTATTGCGAGGCAGAAGGATCTCTTTGGTTACAAAGAAAATAGTACTGAGCTGCTACTTGACATCTGTTTTCCTTTACAGCAGCGAATGTGGGTCGGTCTCCTCAAAGATGAAGAAGAGACTCGATGCGACAGAGATGTGGTTCTACAGAAGGATTCTAAGGATATCATGGACCGAGCGCGTGAGCAACGATGAAGTTTTGGAGAGGATACAAACAAGGAGGAAGCTTATACGTAATATCAAGAAGAGGCAGCTGACATTTCTGGGAGACGTAATGAGAAAGGAGGGCCTGGAGAATCTGATGCTCACAGGTCGAATAGAGGGAAAGAGAGACAAGGGAAAGCAACACATGACACACCTAGCGGGCTTAAGCAAGTGGATGACAGAAAATGACCTGGGGGACGTAACTAGGGGACAAAACATATTGAGAGCTACAAAGATTAGAGGGAAGTGGAGAGCCATGATTGCCTACGTCCGTTAATAAGAAGTAAGTTTCATTCGGACAGCTTTTCCACAAGGACTGCTACGTTGTGGAACAGACTCCAGGCAGGATGTTTTCTTAATCACTATAATTTTGAGTTTTTTTAAATCTAGGGTTAACCGTTATATTTCCTACTTAACCTTAGGAACTGCACTTTTTGCCTTTTCTTACGCTCATATAACACAGTAAATCTCTATGTATTGAGTAAACAATAGTTAAAAAATTCTATGATAAAAATGTGGAACAGTCGGTTTGAACTATTTACATTGTTCGGACTGATATCTACATCGTTACTGTGACATTCGACCGTTGTACCTTGCGGCCTTCTTCAGGTCATATTTGTTAGAATTTTTAACCGAACCCGTTATTTAGTTCATGGGAGAAGATTCTTCTAATTCAATGTATCCCGCCTTTGAGTATCTCAGTTTTAGTTAATTCGCCTTGATAAATCATCGAGTTTTGTACAATGAACTCACAACACCTTGGGTCAAGTCACTTTTTAGATGAAACCGTTGTTTGATTGATTAAAAAAAAATCCAAAGCGTACAAGAGCCGAAACGTCGTGAATATGACAATAAAGGTGAGGACAAAAATTGGAACAAGGTAAATACTGTAAGTTACAATACCTCATCTCAGTATGATAGACAGATCCTGAACAAAGCCGGAGCGTATAACGACCGAAACGTGACAATAAAGGTGAGGACAACAGTCAGAACAATGTAAATACTATAAATAGTTACAATACCTCATCTCAGTAATATAAACAGATCCTGAAGAAGGCCGGAGTGTATAACGGCCGAAACGTCGTGAATGTGACAATAAAGGCGAGGACAACAGTAGGAACAATGTAAATAGTTAGAATATCTCATCTCAAAAATATAAACAGAAGTTGTGTTGAAGTTTTCCACAGTCTTAAATAGGTATTGAACTTACACTCTTTGGGTCTTGTCACTGGATCTTACTAACGCCTTTATCCACTGTGCCATGTGTCCTTCCGAGGGAACTGAACAGGAGATAACTGATAACTGGCATCCATTAAACATGACACGTGGAACTAGAACTGTCTATCCCAGTGAGCGAATAAAGGGTTCGATATTCCAACCACCTGAAGAAGGCCGGAGCGTACAACGACCGAAACGTAATAAATATGGCGACAAAGATGAGGACAATATTCCAAATAATGTAAATAAAGTTAGGAATTATGTGGGTGATACAGGCGTGTATGTGTGTGGAAAAATTCAGTTCCTAAGATGGAAGATGTCTCCATGGCCGGGAATGCCCCGGTTAGCCTTGCAACTTCTACTATATGCTACAAGAAAAAAAGAGACAAGTGGATAAAGACAGGAAGTGTCCTATAATTATAGGTGCTTAACAGCGTCCTCTAACGACTTCTCGTCGAAACTAATGAAGCTATGTGGAGATAATCCACAACGTCAATAATGTAAATAATAATAACTCCTAATCCCATAAATTCGAATAGATTCTAATTTTGATTACTAGCGTGTTAAAGAGGTTTGAGTTATCGGGCAAAGAAATAGCAAATCCTGAATTTTGAAGAAACGTTTTAGGTCGACTTATGCGCGGCATATTATGGAGGCTACAAAATTTGCCGTTTGTTTTTTACTTGGACGTATCCACATTCTTTTTTAAATCCTTATTTGGCACTATTTGGATTTTAGTTTACTTTTAATTGCAGGTGAAATGCAAGATCTTTTGGCTGCGTTGTTTCTCAGCTCTGTTTTGAAAACAAATGACGCATGTTTACAACGCTTGCACACGATACCATCGTCGCAAACGCGACTGCTGCTTATTTGAACCAGAGTCCGTATTGTTATGACTACAAGACATCACAAAACAAAGAGGCTTACATCGGGCGGCGCCAGATATACTCATAAATGTGGACACACACACACACACACACACACACACACACACACACTATTTATATCTTTTGCACAAAACATGTGATTCACTTTATCGCTCTGTTTATTATTGCACACACATAGCAACAAGCATGTCATTTTTCCACCATTTTCCCTTTCTCTCTTTGCACTCAGATACTTAATCATTAGCAGCACTTTTCGTAGATACACATCCATTCTTTCTTTCTTTCTTCCTTTCTTTCTTTCTTTCTTTCTTTGTCTATATTAGTTCCTTCTTTACATGTATTCTTTCTTTATTTCTATTCTTTCTTTCTTTATTTACTTATATCCTTTCTTACTTTACCTTTATTCTTTCTTTCTTTCTTTCTGTTCATTATTTCTTTCTCCGCCTATATTCTTTGTTTCTTTCTTTCTTCAACTATATTCTTTCTTTACCTATATTCTTTCTGTTTTTCATTCTCCGCCTTTATTCTTCCTTTCTTTCTTTCTCCGTCTTTATTCTTTCTTTCTCCGCCTTTATTCTTTCTTTCTTTCTTTCTTTCTTTCTTTCTTTCTTTCTTTCTTTCTTTCTTTCTAGTTCATTCACTAAATTTACGTACTACAACTTGCACAAGTTCCTTCTCTCTATTTCACCGCTGATGCCAGAGTAAAAGTCCTGCTTCAAGTAGGAATGACTTCTCCCTTTGAAGACGAATGTAACACAATCATTCAGCTCCAATCCATTACTTTTATATCCTTGTGCCAGACTAGCACATCATTTTCCTGTCATTATATCTTCCTATCATAAGGCATATTAACACTGTTTTCCTTCACTTTCTTTAATTTTTCATTCTTTTATTCTTTCCTTCAGTCGAATTCATTCACTATATTTTACACACAAACATACACATGGGTCCTCACCTATTTTCCTCACTGATGGCATTTCATGGTTATGCAAGTTAGGTCAAAGGTAAATTTATGAATAATCATTGTTATAGTATGAAAGATTTTCCCTGTGAAGACAATCCTAGGAATTCGAAAACTCCTACCCATTAATTTTACCTTATGTCAAACTAAGCTATTATTAGTACATATAACCTCCCGAATCGGAGAGAAAGTAATAAATAGATTTTATGCGCAAAAATGCTGTTAAAATCTTCTAATGTTATGTGCAAATTTATTTAATTTTCATACTCAACAATCCCAAATACAAAATCCAGTTTTTTAGGAGTGTACATTAACTTCCCAATCATCAGGATATGCTTCGTCCTGGGTATGACGATAAACTACATTCGACAGCAAAAGCGTTTGATCAGAAAGTTTTGTGTAGTGTGGAACCACCTTTTAATTGCTAGTATTCCAATGTCTACCATGACCCGGAGTGGTAGCACCTGTCAGGATCCGAGCTATGGGAAAATAGTTAACCTCCCCAAAAGGGGTCAAAACACTATGAAATTATACAAATAGGTTTAATATTACCAGCAATACATTTTGAAAAAAAAAAATTACCTGCAATACATTTTAGAAAAAAATATTACTAACAATATATTTTTGAATAAAAAAACATATTACCAGCAATAAAAATGTTACCGGTATTAGATAACCCATTTAGTTTGATATACCGTAAAACAAAACAGTCCAAACCAAACAAATCAGGAAATGCCTCAGAGTCTACATTTGGACGTGGTATGTTGACTGATCTCCCATCCTCAGGCCAAGAAGAGCCGAAGACTGTTTTTGTTGTGGTAAAGCCTCCTACAGTAGAATGAACTCTTCCTCCTCTCATAAATACTAATTTCAAGAGTCGTTGAGGAATCAGTTGTGGAGCGGAGACGCAATGTTAACCTACCGTTTGGACGTACACTTCTCTCTGCTTATTACTAACACTCTTGCTTTGTATATATCTGTTATTTCAATATACTTGTTCAATCCTAGTTTCGTCTTCCGTGTCTTTCTTTCTGAATCCTAAACAGGCCAAAAACAGTTTTCTTCACCTATGTCTTGTGTCCCTTCAGGTTGTTGGCTGTCATGGTTCTTCACAACTTACTGTCCATTGCAGCTGTTAGTAATATTTGTCTTTTTTGTTATCTCTTATAATCTCTCTTCTACCAACCATTTACACAAACTTGTTATTCGCTGTTTTCATCTGTTCCTATTGACTTCAACATATCCTGCGAATGCTAAGTTTTCACTACCATCGCCCCACAATTTAAAAAAAAAAACACTAAACTCATTGAGTTTCTTTTGTCCAAGATTTCAGATAAGACAGTTAGCCATCTTGACACAATTTTTTAAGAATCACTGAAAAAAAAACAACTTTTTTCTTCACTTTCTTTAACCTCTCATTCTTTTATTCTTTCCTTCAGTCTAATTCATTCAATATATTTTACACACAAACATACACATGGGTCGTCACCTATTTTCCTCAAAGATGGCAGTTCATGGTTTTGCAAACTATGTCAGCTAGAAAGGAAACAGGTTAAAATCATGTGTCAGCACCACTATGTCTTCCCAACTGGTGAGAGGAAAAAAATCCTTCACGCCTTCAGTAATGATAACAACATTTATACTCTGGCTTCCATTTTCAAAGTTCATTCAAGAACTATCAAGAGAATGGTGAATAAGTTTAAAAGAGGGAACATAGAGAGGAAAATTGGATCAGCAGATTACGGCATCTTAGAGCTAAATACATTCTTATTATTCAAAGTAGCGTCCAAAAGTGTTATCAAAACCTAGGAGAATTCCAGTAAGATATCTTTAATCATTTCTAACGGTTTAACGGTTAATCTAACAATTGGACAATTTTGTTGTAACACGATTTGGACAATTTTGCTGTTGCATTCAGTATATAGAATCAACGACGAAATTATTTGTACAACTATCAATTTTGAATTTTTTTTTATCCATTTCTCAGAATCGGATGCCTGTATGATCCCAGTTAATAAGCACAAAAGGGAATAGAAAACTTAATTTTCAGAATGTTGAATACAACAAAAAGCAAAAATCTACTTGAGACTAAATAATATTTGAGGACAATATTGACATTTAGACTACGTTCCTCTTCTAAGCAGTAAAAGTGTAGTGAGACCCGATAAAAATAAAAAAAAATATAAAAAAAAATATACAAACAAAAATAATAAAAAAAGAATTAAAATTAAAATAAGACGTTTGCGCTTTTCTTTAAAATTTTCGTCTCTTTATCTTTCTGTCTCTCTCTAAATTTCTCTCTATATACGTCTCTCTCAAAATAACGAGAAGGCAATTTTCAAATAAAAAAAAAAGAAAAGACGACCCGTCCGAAAAAAACGGGACCAGATTGGGACCAGACAGGTTTCACACAAAACTTCTATATATATATATATATATATATATATATATACTATATTTATGACTATAAATCTATTTGGCCCTTCAAAATAAGCCCTATAATCAAACAGGTTTCGGGCTGTCGGTTTCTGGGAAATTATCTGTTACCCTCATACGTCGAATTCGACGGAGATATATATATATATATATATATATATATATATATATATATATATATATATAATAATAATAAGACAATCAAAAAATGAACCCAAAGAAACTTGTGCTGTTAGCCGAAACTTCGCGCCAGAATATCTGGATCCCCGTCAAAAGGGATATAAACTGACAAAACTCCACACACTGGGAGAATGACAACAAGAGACGTCATCGGTAAAGAAACCAGACATCATTGAAGTAGTTAAAAGTTCATCTGCTAATTATAATTTTTATCCTTGACAATGACCTATTTCTAAGACGACTACTACTACTACTAGCAAGATCTGAGCATAAAACTAGCCACGACTAAACTGAAATATTTCTCCAGACTGCGATCAACATCCGCCTTATAAACATTTTGATACACCGAATATCAAAGGACTGAATCTAAATCAAATAAATAAATATAAATTATTTGGTCATATTTTATATCCAGTTCGTTTTATGCCCTATGTTTCCAATAAAGTTATTACCAAGAACCATCCTGGCACGACTTACCACATATGATCCTACTGCATCTTTGTGAGAGATGATTGCAGAATATATGGCAATGATTCTGAAATTGTAAGCGGAGAATTAAACCTTCAGTCATGTCTTAGTGTATATAATTGCGAGAAATATGAAGGCTCTGAAAGGATGTATGCATGTGATTTTGTGAAGTGAAGATCTAATTACAGCAACTGCCTAAATCTAAACAAGGCGTGGTATATAACCTGCCAAAGATCTCTTGTGGTTTAATGGGATTCAAAATGGCTGTTCGTTAACAAGGTCGTTATGTGATGGATATTTTCTTTCAAATAAAGTGAATTTACCTTTACACTAAAGTGCAGGGAGGAACTCTCTGGGAGCGGAGTTCCCTCTTATTGTCCGTGAGAACAAGTGAGGGCGTGGCACATTGTTCTAAGAATAATCCTGCAATGGTCTGGAGAGAAATTAAATAGTATTAAGGCTGACTAGTGTAAGTACAATTTTTGCGTATTTTCGCATATGTTTGCGAGAGTGAGATTGATTTTTGAAACTCGTGTGATTTAAAAACTGTGACCTATTCGGAGCATGTGATTTTAGTCTATTGTTTACTAGAATATATTTATTTTTTAAAAGTCTTCTTCGATGTGAGAAGTACCATAATATTTATTGCTCGACCATAAGAAATAGTTGAAAGTACACTTTATATACGATTTCTTTGTGACAGGTAATCTATTCCAATCTCCATGGAGAATCAATAGTTTTGAACCAGATTCCGAATTATACAGAAATCCCATTGAGAAGCAGACCGGAATAAATAGAAGGATACATGAATATGAAGAGTGATATATATATATATATATATATATATATATATATATATATATATATATATATATATATATATAGTGGTCAATATATATATATAATTTTTTTCCTCTCTCTCATCTCTTTTCTTGTATACATAAGCTTAGTAATGCAAAGCAGACGGAAAATTTTCACATATACCTCGGCAGTATGAATTGGCTAGATTTTAATATCATTTTTTATTGTTTTTATTTGTGTCATCACAAATGTATCCACACGTTTCCGGTGTCTGTTTTTTAATTTTAATTTTAGGTCAGCAAATCGGTAGTGAATTATGCATCTGAAAATAATTCCTATTTATCTGTATCTCACTCATTTAAACCGTTATTTAGCTCCTCTCTTTAAAACTTCTCTCTGTTAAATTTTAATCCTCTCCTTCAGCTTTAGGTCTTCCTGTTCTTCTTTCTTCTATTACACCCTCTCTCTAGAGCTTTTATACATTACCCTCTCACGCTTGTTTCCAACGCCCCCACATACACTCTCACTAAAATTTTGTTTTTATACCCTGAGTTATATTTTCCAATTTCTTTTTGAATTTGTAGGTCTGATGAATAGGATCGTAATTACGATTCGAATGTAATAAATTATAACCATGGAGTATTAGTGTTTGAGCCGTTTATGTTTGATTCACCCATAGAGCTCAATGTTTTTATAATAAACAGAGCAATATATTTCATACAATAGGAATTAAGATATCATTATGCAAATGATCATTTTCGCCGTGTAAAATTAAAATTAAAAAGGATTTTTCAAACACTCAATAGATGATAAATTTTTTAAATAAAAAATAATTATCATCCATTGAC